GAGCCACAACGTAGTGTTGTCGTGGCGAACATACATGCATTGGGAGCAATTCGAATTAGTTGCGTCAGTGACGGGGAGCAGCGCTTGACTGCCTTGTCCTGACCCTGTCCGCATCCACTGCGTTCGGCCAGGATGGTTTTGGTCACCAACGGGTTGAAGCATGTTCACCAGGAGGAAAAAGGTATCTCCAGCCTGAACTGCGCTCAGAACCTCCATGGCCTTGCGTTTTGGCAGCAAGAAAAATTGTCCTTTGCCATAGCGGATCCCACGATGTTCCAATGCAGAAGCCACTTGCACCGGCTTGCAGGATCCCATCAACTTGGACAGCGCGCAGCTGCTCGACGCAGAGCCTTGCAACTGCGTTCCCAACTTACTGACACTTTGAGGCGTTGCTAGTTCCATCGACACCAACTCTAGCAAAGCGGAGCGAGCGAAATTGGCTTTGCCAGGTTGATTTAGCTTTCCATTGCAAATGGATTTGAAGTGTCTGTGCTTACGCTCACAGACAAATGCGTCGAATGGCCGACCACGTTCTTGCATCTGCTCTGCGAGATGCAAAGAATAGTGTAGCTTCGGGCGACACGCGCCAGTCGAATATGCATCCACGAATCGATGCATGTGTTCCCGCTGGAGAAACACCAATCGGCTCGCAGCCGTCAAGCTGTCTTTGCATGCTTTTATGCAAAGCACCACTGCATGCAAACCTCGCAGGGAATCCAGCGCTGACTCAATGTCTGGATACCTGCCGCGCAACATGTCTTCACCATAGGCGATGCAAAGCGGCAGAACCTCCAAGCAGGCTTGCGCGTCACCTCGAAAATCCTGGTCGAGACGCCACAACTTGGGGGTAAAATGCAAATCCGCGCGCGGCGGATCAATTTGACCTCCTTTCAGTGGCGCCCATGCGATGCGCATGTACGAAGACATGTGTTCCACGGTGACTCCCGCTATTTGGTGGGCACGGGAGAACCACAGGCCCAACTCTTGAGCCACGAGCCCATTTGAAAACAAGTGGTGCATAGAGTCAAATTGGACATGTTCTAGACTAAAGAATCCCCGCAAGTTCCGCTGTGTCAACGGAGATGCTGCAAGGGACGAAAGTTTGAAGCCTAAAAGCACCTCCGTCTCTTCCCGTTTTTTCCGGGTCGGTTGTCTCTGTAAGATGTCGAATATCTCATCCACATCTCTTTGAGTTTGCCGCACAAACTTGCCCGGATCCGAGCAGCTTACGTCGACATGCGACGGAACACCCTCTGCGCGCTGTAACATCAAGACATTGCTACATTTAATGCAAGGTTTGAAGCCCGAGGCCCCTTTGCACCCCAACGCAGATCGGATCCCCTCGTGATCTGATAACAGTACAATGTGCGGGATCAGCAGCAGCTCAAACGCTGCACCGATCCTCACTGGCAAACCGTGCTGCGTCTCTTCCTTGTAATGCGACAACAAAGACGTCAAGACGGAGGCAAAACCTCCTCTGCACGTCTCATTGTCAGCAGCTTTGATGACGCTCAATGTCATCCACAGAGATTCCAAATGCAGGAACTCGAAGTTCAAGAACGCAGCATACACCAATGTGCTTTTACGGCTCGCAGGAGCCGCCAGCACATTGCCTCCATGCGTATCATCCGCATAGATGATCAAGGGTTGCTGAGCGCCAGACTTGTCGTACATGCGCTGCATGCACGCCGCGAACAGAGGACACACCTCTGTTTTTGCCTGAATGAGCGCTTCTAAAGACATGCAATGAATTGGCAATGGCGGCCCATCTCTGGCCACCATGATCTGCCGCAGGCAAGGAAGAGCCAAGGGATGCGCATGCTCTAATCGCTTGCACGTGCTCCCGCCTTCCTCATTGTCATGCAGCAAGGCGACGACCTGACGACATTCAGATTGCGTCAAAGAGGGTATTTGACGCAAGGCCGTGAACTGATCCTTGGGAGTATCCAACGGATCAAGCTTTCTCCGTTTCATCTCACGGCGCCCTTTCGACCCAATCCCCTAGCCAAAACGGCTGCAGACACAACATCATATTACCGTGACAGAACATGAGAGGTTGAGACTTCAGAATGTTTTTGGGGGAAGGCTTACGTGTGTTTTGTGACTCTTAGCGTTTTGACATCTTTGTTTCTTCCGTTTTGCCTATATATCCGTTTAGGAACACACTTTGATTATTCTATTTTACCCCATACACCTTCACTGAGAAGCGGCAGATCCTTTTTTTCGGGCAGACCACAGATCGATGTCCAGGACTACACGGCAGCAAGGGCCGCGAAGCCGGCGACACACCAGCAGGAGTTTTCGTGCTTTGTCACAACCTCTTACGTCAAAACAATCTGACATAGACCCGCGCAAGGCAGCCAGATCTACGCAATGAGGTCAAAAGCAGCCGCAAAGGAGATTATCGACCTCCGCGCAGGAGGTGAATTTACCGCCAGAGAATTCTCTTCCGGCCACACCTCGTGGAAAGCCACGAGATATATCCATATCAGTCGCCCTTGGGCGTGCTTTTGCCACGCAGGCGTTTCGATTTGTTGTCGTCTTCACCAGCTGCCGCAGCGGCTCGCTTCTTCGGCTCCGCCTTCGCCTTGGCCGCTTTCTTTGGAAAGCTTTGCTTCAAGGCCTTTTGCGCTTCATTGCTTTGCTTCAAAAAACACTTGATCTCCTCGCCATCGAATGGCAGCGGGGCCAATGCCTCGGCTTTCTCCTGCTGGTCCTCCTTTCCACGGAGCACCTGCTGACGGTTCACTGCCTCGCGAGCAGCCTCACGCCAGCTGTTTGCCTTCGCGAACTGTTCCTTGCACATCGCCAAGGCAGCCGCATCCTTCTCTGCTGCTTCCTCCCCCTTGCTGATGCATTTCTGCAAGGACGTCTCCAAGGAGGTCAAGGGCCCCAATGCCTTCGCTGCCGCGCTTGCCACACGATCATTCTTCTGCAAAGTCTTCTTCGTCGCCGCTGCCTCCTGTCTCGCAGCCTTCGCTTCAGACTTTGCACCCTTGTCATCGCCTTCCGGCGCCGCAGGCACATCGAGGCCTTCTTCGGTCTTGCGTTTCTTCTGGCTGGCCAAACGCTCCTTCTCTAAGATGCGGGCTTCGACTTTTTGATACGCTTCCTCCCAGGATAAGGTGCGGACTGGTACCTTGTAGATGTCGCATCCGTACTCCGCACTGTACTCACACGGAAACTTCTTAATGACCTCCTCCGGCCATCCTTGCACCGTGTACACGGACAGTGGGAGCTCCTGCAACGAGACCGTGGCGCTGAACTTGGATATATGCTCTTCCGTCAAACGGGAAAGCATCCCAGCGCGAATGGTCTTCCAAGTCAGGCTGCCACCATCGGTCTTCTGCGCGTCCCGCAAAGACCGGAAAAAGGCCACAGAATCTTCTGCAGAAAAATTCTGCACATCCTCTGTGTCACCCAAATTTCGCCTGATGGTATTTTGCACGTTATGACACCCCTGGCACAGAAAGTGTCGTCCGTGCACCCTCCCCGCACTCAGCGGGTACCTATAGCCACACGCCTTGCAAGCGTGATTGGCCTCATCAGGCACCTCTACCATCGCCATGGCAGTCCAAGCGAGAGGACGCGTCGGACCCGGAAATGGCTGCGGTCGCAAAAAGCTGGAGCCTGCAACAGCACAACGGTCAGCAAGCAAGTTACCCCCAAAAGTGAAAAAAAAAGACATCAGCCATTTAACCGCCCTCATCTCGCACTCAACCGGACATGCAACTGACAGTGTGCTCCGCACTCATCCGCATGCATCTTCCTTCCAATTTGGCCATGAAATCTTCCCGCATTCATCCGCACGCGACCTTTTTCTACTGCCGGCCACGATATTCTCCTGGTTTCGCACGCATCCGCACGCAAAGTCCAAAACGTGCCCTGATAGCCGCACTCATCCGCACGAGTCCGCACTCAGCGGCGTCCGGAGAGAATCTAGGCCACTTCCGCCTCCAGGGACGATGGCGCCGCTGTCCAATCCCTGCGCAGCATCTGCCCCGCCACAGAGAGGGACTCCTGCGCGATGTGGATCCAGCTGTGACATCGCAACATGAGGCCATCGTTGGGCACAGCCGTCTGGAAGAAACGCAGATACGTGGCAGCCTTGCCAAACTCTTGCGCATTTTCTTCCGGTTGCATGCCCATGTCGGCCCAGGCCGTCTCCGATCGAGGCGGCACGTAGCAAGGAATATACAGCGTCCTGCCACTCTCCCCTTCCACACCTGAGAGCATCTCCCACGTGTGGGACGCGGAAATCGAGAGGAGGTCTGCGAGACGGTACAAAACCGTCCGCTTCTCCTCAGCCAAGTGCGGATTCTGCGTCGCAGCAATGCATGCGTTCAAAACGCAGCGCCAATCTATGCTGTCTTCTAGACGCTCCGCACAGCTGTGTAACGTCACGCAGACGTCTTCGAGAACATAGAAATCACCCGAGTCCGGCACCGTCGGGCTGGACATGCCAAGAGGCAAAGTTCAGCTACTCCCTGTGGACCCAAATGGCTGCGGCCGCAATTTGCGTTACCATGTGAGACCCCCTTGCAGTGACCCTGCCCGGAAAACCTTCTCTAAACCTGTTGCCTGCATGGATGCACCAGCCCCAGAACCCCAGCATCTTTTTTGACGTGACACGCCGGGTAACAGTCCAACAGGCTGGTCCATATAAGAAGGCCTTTTGTAGCCATCTGTGCAGACGGACACATTTGGGTCTGTCAGAAGAGAAGCAACAGCTTGGAACAGTAGATGGTGATATTTGTTTGCAGACAGTCTTTTGAAGCATGATTTTATGTGCCGAATGACAGACCCAAGTCCTTCAACGGCGTCCTTTTCATACCTTATACTTGCATTGCAACACCAAGATCGACCCCCCCCGGTCGAGTGTCCGACACCCTGGCTCGCGGCCAGATACATTGCAGGATCGGATAGAAAAGGATCCGCCTCAAAAGCGGCCCCAGGACTTCAAACCTGGTTAGGCATGCCACGGCACGCAGCCAGGCAGCTCAGATGCGCACATCCGGCGGCAGCGTGATGATGAGCTGCCGTGGTCGTTTCGACCGCCTGGGCTGCGGCTCCTCGGAATCCGAGGACGGCGGACGTCTGCGGCGATGACGCTCCGGACGCGCCACCTCCGGAGTTGGGTCCCGCACACTGCGGTGTTTCTTCTTCTTTTTCTTCTTCTCATCCGTCGTATGGCGACGGCGACGCCGGTCCCTGTCCGGTTCTTTGTGCCCCGCAGGCACAGCAGGCGGCTGCGGCGGCTCGACGGCCTTGCCACCTCCACCTGTATACGCGTCTGCTTGCTGTCGAATTGCGCGCGCTTCTCGTCGCGCTTTCTGCCTCACGGCCTTGTCCCCTGCCTCCTGCCACGACGCACAGCGTCCTGTATTCCATTGCTGCCACTGCAAGCACTGCAGGTTCCATCGCCGATGTTGATCCATGCTAGATGGATTTGGACTCACCGGCAACCAGCAGATGTCACACGTAGGCCTGTCAACCCACTTCCGACTGGTCTTCGCTGGCCCCGGTCGGCTTGACGCCGGCTTAGGCGGCGAGGAGGATTCCGCCTCCGAGTCCACACGCGGTGGTCGATGGCGCCGCGCAGGCGCTGGAGAAACAGAAGGAGAAGAAGAAAGCTTTTCATCCTTCACTGCCTTCACATACGCTCCATGCGTAGGCGGTGGCATAGAAGGAGCCCGGGGTGGAATGATCGCTTTCGCCTTCGGTGTCACGCCCGCAGGCGGCGGAGGCGAAGCATCCCGTTCTTCTTCTTCTTCTTCTTCTGCAGTGACCGACTCGTAGTCGTCACTCTCCGCTCCCATTGGCCGCAGCAGCAGTACCTGACCAACGGGCACACAGGGTAGTAAACACATTTACTTGCTAGCAACGTGAGACATAGAGCGGCCACGCCTGCGCACAGACGCGGTTACGCAGGCCCACGCCTATAGTTGCATCCCTACATCAGAGCCAGAGCGAAGCGTGAGGGCGTAACGTCTTCTTTCACACCATGTTTTGGGGGGGTCAACTTCAAGGGAAGAGAACATGCTGAGCCCTGCTACTAACACACACAACCCATGAATTCTGAAATCCACATGCCCATGCACCCTTTTTTGGCCGCTGAATCGCCGAGATGTCTTCTGTTCGAAGCTGTCCTAAGAGGAAAAAAACCTACACCCGAAAACCGCGTTTAAACCAACATGAGTTGCAACAGAAGGGTCTATATCGACAGGTTGAACAGCCCTGGGCAAAGCTTTTCTTCAAGGCGGACGGCACGGAGGCTAGCAACCTCTTTCGATATGCGTCCTTGCCTTGCACGCGCTTTGCCTTCTGTCCTGCCTTTGCACGGGTTGACTTCGGTTTAGCCTTTGCTTTGCTCGCCAACTTCTGTTTGGATCGCACAGACCCAGCTGCAGAAGCAGCGTTTGCGTGCGGCAAAGATGCCATTGATGCCTCGCAGGCACCCGGCCGCTTCTTGGATCCCGCAGACCCAACGGCACCACGCGCAGCCTCCTCCCGAGCCGCCGGGCGCTTCTTTGCTCCCGCAGAGCCTGAAGGACCCGTTGCGGCATTCTTCTTAGAAACCTTTTGCTTGGAAGCCGGCCGTTTTTTAATATCATCCGGAAGATCTGCACCCTCCGCAGGAGGCGCATGCAGAGCGTCTTGCAGACACTTCAATTGCGACTCCACAGTTGGTGCCTCGGAAGCACCGGAAAGAGCAGCGCAGAACTGCCCATCCACGCGCGGTGCATCCTCCAAAGCCAAAAGCGGCATGGATCCCTGTCCCGCAGACAGGCTTGGCCCCGCTGGCACACTCTGTCCCGCACGCAGAGCCGGCTCAGCAGAAGGTGCTGGCGAGGTGCCGTCCTGCAACGGCAACCGATTCGATTGGCTCTCAGCCAGTGATGATCCTCCCGCAGAGGACACTGAGCCAGAGCGAGCCAACACCCCTTCGACCGCGCCAGCAAACAATTTCCCCAAGATGTGCGTATACTCACCCGACATGCCAGCGGCACCCCCCTTGCCATCCTCGCCCTCGCGACGACGCAACGGAAATCGCCGCACGACTTCCTCGTAATGCGCCAGCTGGAAGCCAGGCGGAGTATACGACTCAAATCCCTGAGGAAATGCCACCTGCATGAGCTCGGCGGGGCAATCGGCCACATTCGTCGGCAATACCTGCAGATACACTGCCGGAGAAGCCAAATTGGCCAACCAACGTCGAATGTTTGGCTTCGATTCTTTCAATGCAAGCACCTTCTCGCTTTCACTGATCTCCTGCGTTCTCAACGCACATGTTGACAGCCAAACTAAACCACCGATCGTTGGCTCACTTGGGCATCGCATTCCTAAGGAAATGCAAAATTTTACCAAGGACTCCAACCGATCCTTCTGGTTGCTGCTTGTCAACAAACGATTCCAGACATGCTCTGGAAGATAACGCGGAAATGCAGTGAAGTCTTGCATTTTGCGCCTCTCTTTTCCGTCGGATACCTTATCGGCCAAGGCATGCTTCAAAGTCTCTAGTTCTTCTGGATTCCATATTGTCGGATCCAGACTTGCAACTAGATCAGCCACCGCAGCAGTGCCTTGCGAGGCTGCTTTCTCTATGACACCTCTCAGGTGCTTCAGCTGCCTCGCCTTCACTTCCGCAAAAGTGGGCAAAGAGGCAAGACCTTTCAGAAACCTCTGCGTCGCCTGCAAATGTTTCTCCATTGCAGTTACAAAACTAACCAAAACGGGCGATATCATGCCATTGAGCCAAACCATGAAAACATGTCAATTCAACATCAATTTTTCCACCGGAAAACACAACATGCAAAAAAACCCGAAAAACATAACTAACTTAACTTCCAAATAACTTCTAACGACGGTCATGTTATATAAACCCTAACTAACTTATAACTAGATAACTATTTGCTAAGTTCCATTTTTTTTTGAGGAAGTTATATCGAAGTTAACAACTTAAAACATAAGTTATCCTCTGATAACTTACCTTTTAACTTCTATATAACTCCATAAGTTCCCCGAGGATGCAAAGTAGAGTTGCAAATCACAATGGAATTCTATCGGCAACTCATCCACCAGCACCACTTGCAACCCCATTTACAATGCGGGAACGATCCTACAGTTGCAAATCACAATGGAATTCTGTCGACCGCACATGCACGAAAAACTGTTGACACCCCATTTACAATGCGGAACCGATCCGACCATATCCGCCCATGATCCGAGCATGATCCGACCACACACGAGACCGTCTCGCAACCGTCGCACCGCAGAGGTAGATAATCGAGGTTCGGGGACGGACTTTGTATGGAAAAACATAGGGTTTCGTGCATCTGCTATCTCTCAAAAACGCATTTCGTGCGAGACTTCCTCCAAAACTCCATCGGCAACTCCTCCACCAGCACCACTTGCAATCCCATTTACAGTGAGGACCGATCCTAGAGTTGCAAATCACAATGGAATTCCATCGGCAACTCATCCACCAGCACCACTTGCAACCCCATTTACAATGCGGAACGATCCTACAGTTGCAAATCACAATGGAATTCTGTCGACCACACATGCACGAAAAACAGTTGAAACCCCATTTACAATGCGGAACCGATCCGAGAATGATCCGAGAATATCCGACCATGATCCGACCACACACGAGACCGTCTCGCACCCGTCGCACCGCAGAGGTAGATCATCGAGGTTCGGGGACGGACTTGTATGGAAAAACATAGGCTTTCGTGCATCTGCTATCTCTCAAAAACGCATTTCGTGCGAGACTCCTCCAAAACTCCATCGGCAACTCCTCCACCAGCACCACTTGCAATCCCATTTACAGTGAGGGAACAATTTCTTTGCTAACTCTTTCCCTGTGACTAACTCTTTCCCTGACTAACTCTTTCTTTGCTAACTCTTTCCCTGACTAACTTGTTTCTTTGCTAACTCTTTCTTTGACTAACTCTTTCCCTCACTAACTCTTTCTTTGACTAACTCTTTCCCTGACTAACTGTTTCTTTGCTAACTCTTTCCCTCACTAACTCTTTCCCTCACTAACTCTTTCTTTGACTAACTCTTTCCCTGACTAACTGTTTCTTTGCTAACTCTTTCTTTGACTAACTCTTTCCCTGACTAACTCTTTCTTTGACTAACTCTTTCTGTGACTAACTCTTTCCCTCACTAACTCTTTCTCTTTCCCTGACTAACTGTTTCTTTGCTAACTCTTTCTTTGACTAACTCTTTCCCTGACTAACTCTTTCTTTGACTAACTCTTTCCCTGACTAACTGTTTCTTTGCTAACTCTTTCTTTGACTAACTCTTTCCCTCACTAACTCTTTCTTTGACTAACTCTTTCTGACGAACTCTTTCTTTGCTAACTCTTTCTTTGACTAACTCTTTCCCTGACATTCTAAAAGTCCGTAACACGGAAGTTTCTCCCCCTAAACTTCCTTTGATCCTTATGTTCGTATGGCGATCTTAAATGAAGGGTCCCATTGAAAGGGTGACATCCACCACTACATATATATATATATATATATACCAATGGTCGTTGGTTTTTTGCCCCGTGGATTTTCCCAGAGCCGATCACATTTTTGTGGCCCCCGGAAAATGTGAATATGATAACCCCAGGTTCGTGATTTTAAAATTGTAAGCATATCCAATGTTCAGGTTAGAATTGTAGACGGGGCTCAATTATATTTGATACCCAATTATCACATAAACCACCTCAAATTTTGGTGCTTATGACAAAGACCATGACTGGTTTGAATTGGAACAACCTATATATATATATATATAAATATATATATATATACATATACATATATAGTATGGATTTGGACCAGTACCCAATGATCCCAATGTAAGATTTTCAAACACAGCACCCAGTGATGAAATTTCGAATTCCGAGGTTAAAAAGATGGATTTACACAAATCATTTTTATGGTTTTTGAATATGCCCCAATCAATTTGAGCCAAGACTGGGGGGCCCAACCTTGCCACCATTACATTTCCAAGCACTGCGCTCTTGGACGATGGGGACCCCATTGGCGCTAGAAACGTTCGAAGGGTGGAACCCCTAGAAGCGACCACCCATGACCCACATGTCAAGCCAAAATGGTAGACCGGAAAGTCTTTGGACCGCAGAATGATTGTCATCATCACCCTCAGAAAGGCCAGAGCAGGGAGAAAGTGGTATACTTTTTGCTTGTTGGTGGGGATAAATGCTATATAAATATGGCTATCTATATACATATATATATATTTTTATTATATGTGGATGGCAAATTCTAAATTCTAAAGTATAATGATATATATATATACACGTTTGTATAAGGGTTTACGGAAATACCAACAACAGGTTGGATTGTTTGCAGCTACCTATCGTTGGGACTGGAAATTGCCAGCAAGGCTCCCCATGCCAGATGGCGAGAGCATATCTAATGGGTTCGAACTTGTACTCGCACCATGAGCTTCTGCGTATGGGTTCCAATCCAATATGTCAAGGCCAGGGAAACGATAGCCACCATGCTTCAGGCATCTAGATAAGACCCCTTTGCCCGAGCAAAATTCTGCACCATCAAAAACCTCAACAGGGAAGACAGGTGTTTTTTGAACCAACCCTGAGGACCTATAAATGCATTTACATTTCAATATTGGCTATAAATTGAATATGTTTTTGTGGCACTATATACGGGGGCCAGAAAATCTCCTCATATAATTTTATATATATATATATATAAAGATGTTGACACCACTGTGTGTATTTTTTCTTGTCTTGGACGTGCATTACCAACCAACAGCCACTGAGGGTGAAGCACCTTCAACCACCAAGCCTCTTCAGGTTGCCAAGTCGATTGCCACGTTAGCATCAAACTCGCTAAGATCAGGACCTGGGCATGCGGGCAGTTTTGAGCAAGTGGCTGGATGGACACCAGCGACCATGAGATATAGCGTTTGACCCATATATCCCAATACGGTCCCCCAAAGAATCCATATTGTTTCCCATGCCTTGTATTCTTTTGTGGGTGGTCCATGTTGCTATATCTTTATATCTTAGTGTATATAATATGTGTGTCAATCCTGGACATTCCAAACAAGGCGCCCCAGGAGCCCCAATCCGCTTCAATCCGCGAAAAAAATCCATCTGCATTGCTGTTGTAGTACGGTGAAAGCTCTTCGAGTTGCAATTATCACCATGAGCCCAAATTAGCTTTTGAACAGCAGCTTGACCAATTTTTTCAAAGACCGTTCCACATGCAACAGGAGAAACCAGTCACCTCAATCCAGCCCTTCAACCCAGCACAGGCAGGGTGGGGGGTGGCGCACCCTTCCCATGGCGGAGTTGCCATGCCTTGCTCATTTACCACAGCATCACACCTGCCGGAAAGCAGGGCTAAATGATTTAACTAAGGAAAGAATTGGGATAGCACTTGATCGATTTTAAGCAAACATTATTAGCAGACTACGATTTATCATTGCCTATAGAGTTAAGGTAATCCTTATGTGGTTAAAGTGGAAAGCATTGACAGGCCCAATGATAGGCTATCGGGTCTAGTGGGTGTCGTTTATTTGCTGAAGTGCATGATGAAATAATTGAGGCATTTCTGTTTTTGAATGGGTGCGTTTGCTTGCAAGAAGGGAACCGGTATAGCCCCAAGAATGCGGAACATGTAGATAAGTTCCGGGGGACAGCATGTAAAACCACTAACCAAACAGTATTAAATCGCTCCTCCGATTGTATACCCTTGTTGAATGTTTCAGATGCTGACAAAATGCGGGTATGAGGGTACAAAGGTCTCTTTCAAAACATATATATATGATTGTCTATACGTTCATGCATGCATGTGTAAGGATGTATGGATGCATATACATCCGTAGATGTATATGGATGTATATGGATGTATGGATGTATGGATGTATGGATGGATGGATGGATGGATGTGTGTATGTATGTATGTATGTATCTATGTATCTATGTATCTATGTATGTATGTATGTATGTATGTATGTTTGCATATGTCTATATATCTGTCTGTCTGTATGTATACGTATTATATATGTGCAGTATGAGCGTACGGATGCATATGTGCCCGTGTACATGCTTAAGTTCCTTCGGCTGTACTTGGATATGTAGTTGTGATCTTTGCACCTTTATGTGCATGCATGTGTGCGGGAACAAGTGCAGTCTAATGTCTGCTGTATGTAGGAAGTGTGTATGAAGGTTTTGGGCCATCAAAATATCCACGCATGGCTACATATATATGTATATTTATATATATTTAAAATCATTTATTTCAATTTACAGATACATCTAAATATGGTCAACAGTTATGACATAAGATATCAAAAACATAAAAAGTAATGAAAATCTATATAGATAGAAATATAATGTGTGAACAGTTGCTTTTCCTGTCAAATATGTGCATGCATGTGTTGATGCATGTGTAGGCCCTTTCAACCACACCCCAGACCCATTTGGATCGAGTCGCCCCAACTCACCGTTCAAAGCAGAGATTGGCAGCCTGCCACAAACACTTCAACTGGAAGTGCTAAAGGCACATGGCCGCATGAAATTGCACAAGCCAAGGATTTCCCTGCTTGCGCTGGCCATTCCAAAAGCATTGAAGGTTCAGCCGGTGCCAAAGCACACATCTAATCAACATCCTTGTCGTCATCTGCTGGTGTTGACCGAGCAGCACGACGACCCCTAGGTCGAA